AATGCTTTCAGTGTGCCTAGTTATAATGAAATTTTATTTCTTCAAAACTAGAAAAAATATTAGAAATCAGGAAATTAATGAAAATAAAATTTTGTAAGTCAATATTTTTAGAAAAATAATCTAAAAATGGTTAACTTCAATATTTTTGGAAATAATTAATTAAAAAATACATTTTTACCAAAACATTAAAATAAATTAAAAAATGAAATCATTGTAGTTCTTATTCTTGAGTCTTATAACAAAACCAGAATTTTGATATCTCCATTATGTCATAAAATTATTGCAATGGGTAAATTCTCATAGRACGCCTGATATAAACATTCTGATTTCAAACAATTATAAAATTATGTTTCTGGATTGTTTTGGAAGCAAATCCGAATAGAGTCAAGATATAGGATCAGGATGGAATTATAGAGATTTTGTTTTAAATTAAAATAATAATAAACACTGATGAAATACTAAATAGAAACGTGTAATTATTCTACAATTCAAACATTAACAATGTATAAGCTTTCTTTGTCTCTTAAAAATACATTTAAATACCTAAAATACCCAAAAAATGTATATCTATAACATAAATATACTCAATAAAATTATACAAGTAAAAAAATAAACTTTTTGAAAAATTACAAATATTAACTTTTGTATTTCCTAAACATCTAAATAGAATCATTAGCTAAACAACATTTTTCACTTTTCAACAAAAAAGTGGTGAACACAAAAATAATAAAATTAAAACAAAAAAAAGGAATGCCATACACGCTGGTATTAATCTTATTGAGATAATAAACAAAACAATTGCATTAAGTACTTAGATAAATTACTATTGTCAAGACTAGAAATTGTTTGATTTATGTTTTGTTCAATTTCATCACATCATTCTTGTGTAAGATAAACTCAAAATTTACAAAATAAAATAAGTGATTTCATTTTAAATTTAGTTGGAGTATTTTAAAATGTGATCACTATTTGATAACCAAAATATATCTTTTGTGCTCAAAATTAATAAATACATTGGCACCTACATGTTGAATTAATATAATTAAATAATTTATTAAGAGATTGTTAAATAATTTATTCATTCCTTGATCTCAAAATGAATTTACTTTTAGTCAAACAACTTAAAGCTTGTGTTTAAGTGAGTGCACATTCAAGCGTGTTGTTGAGGTTATTTTGAATCTAACTTCATCAGCTGATAACTGTAGGTCATATTAAATCAAGCATCACATCAAGACAACTCTCCGATTGGCGTATTTCGCATCCATAGTTCGTGCATAAACTCATACAAATCATCTGACACTGATACCTATTGTTTTTAAAGATAAATATGTTATTATAAATTTAAACTTAAATACTTTAAGTATAATTTTGAATAAATACTTTATAAGGAGTAGGATTCAAATTTCTTTTAATGTCAGGGCGTATTGTTCTTAAAGATTCTTTAACATGTTCTCGRACTTCTTTTAAATCAGGTAGTCGTTGCATTATATGTCCATTTTCCCAATAAAYCTAGATGTACAAAATGAACCAATATAAATAAATAATCATAAATTGTATTAATATATTATTATTTATGATTACAAATCTAATTTATACTTTGTATAAAGGTTTTATTTCTGATGGTACAACAAACGCTCGTTTTTTTTGATCAAATGGATGTCTGCAAAGAAGTTTTGTTTTGGCTAATGGTGGATCTTCAACAGACTTTTTCAATAAGTCTATCAAGGCAAATCCTAAGAGCAATTAAAATAGTATAAATTATATTTTAATCATTCAAACATACAATTCTTAGTTTACATACCATCAGCACCATACAGTCGAAAAGCATCCTTTTTACCAGGCATTGTAATCTTACTGCCATCTTGACTTAATTTAATTCGAGGTGTGCCATTTACTTCAACTAATTTATACACACATCCCAAGGCTGGTTGCCTTTGACAAGTAACTAAATTCAAAACATTTGGTGCATTATTGTTTGAAATATCATAAAATATATTTCTAATTTACCTAGGTGCGTTCCAATTCCAAAACAGTCAATATTATGCTTTTGATCATTTAAACTCCAAATCGTTTCTTCGTTAATATCATTCGATGCGATTATAGTTAAATTAGCAAACCAAGGTATATTATATCTACATAATTTAAATATTAGAATTTATATTTTCATTTTTCGTTCTATTTTAAATTAAACAATTTGCTTACTCTTTTGCAATTTTGACAAACGTTTCACGAGATTTATTTGACAAATAGGCTAAATCACCACTATCAATTCTAACACCAATAGCCTTGTATCCTAGATCATTTAATGCCAAGGCTACAGCACAGAAGTTCAAAATTCCACTTCTAAAAAAGGAAAAAAAACTTATATAAACACCACACGTTATATAAATTATTATATTAATTAATATCTAATTCTAAAGACTATAACTATATATTCGAATAGTTATTATATTAAACCAGTGCGAACCATTGAACCTAATCAAGCATGCGTTTATGACCAAAAATGATTTGTGGATTTTTACAAGCTGTAAATGTAAAAATTGTAATGGGTATAAGTGAAGTATGGATATGGAATATAATTTTGATATTATTATTAAATTTAGAGTTAAMAAACATAAAAAGCATTCAGCGTATCTCCCAAGGTCAAACACATGCGAATAATGGATAATGGGAATTCTTACCCAAAACTTGAAATGACAGGTAGTTCTTTTGGTCCTAAGAAATGCCACCTGTAATATTTAGAACAGAAAAAAATACTGACTAATTTCGTAGGTTAGATTTTTTCTATGATTGTTATAATGTTTTGATAATTTTAAAGGAAGAGGAAAATTTGAAATTTGCTGAAATGCTCAAAGATAATAACCTTTTTCTTGTATATAAAATCTTAAAAATTCTAACATGTAATTTAAACGTAACTAACATTATCATATTTCCTATTTATCTAAGAATTTTAAACCATTTATTTTATTTTAACACATTAATTGTTTTATGTAATCATTTAAAAATCTAACTTTTGGAATATTTAAGAATTTTAATCATATTACTTGTTAAATTCACTTGAAATAGGCATGCTATAAATTTGAATAATATAGAAACATAAAAGCACAAACAAAAATATTAGCTGAAGTTAAGGTTGTTATAAAATATATTATATATATTATATAAAATATACATATGTATATGTTAATTATGAATTGTGAAAAATACAAATGTGCAATATCTGCATATCCTTAAGTATCCCAAAAGTTACATTTGAAGCAAAAAAATCAAAGTAAATTTGGTATGGTCTATTAAATGAACCACCTAATATCATAAATTAGGTGAATCACCTAATATTTATTGTAAAATTCACATTAAACTCACTTATTTACATCATAAGTGTCTATGAGTGCTACAAAACCTTCAGGAAAAGCAATTGCAAATGAAACAAGAGCAGCTAGTTCTCCATCAGATGCTTGGCTTTCAGATATGTGTAAAAGGCTTGATAATGTAGTACGCCATGATAAAGTCAAGTCAATCAAATCTTGTTCTTTGCCRTTATTCAAATTAATAAGAGTCTAAAAWAAAATCAAAACATAATATGTATAATAATCAAGGGTATAATACATAAAATATTTAGTAAAAATTGTTTCCACGTGAGTAGAAAATAAAATTTTATTTAGACAAAGCAAAATATTGTTTATGATAGGAATAGTACTTAAAAAGTTTCATAAAGCAACTATGAAAATAAAAACTTTAGAGACTACGATAACATCATTGATTGGTCTTCTCAAAGCATTATAWAAAATATAAGAAAAAAACAAACAGCAATAAATTGTCAAAAAAAAATTAAGAAGTGTAGGGTAGTTGGTTTTTTATCTAATACAATTTAGAAATATTTATAAAATAAAAAAATTACTAAATAAAAATACAAAATTATAAAATTCTTAATTTCCCATAAAATATAATTTTTTTCATTAATTTATCATTGATATCATAGAAGAAACATTACGTTTAGTTAACCTTCAATTAATGTTTTATTATTTTATTTTTAATTTAAAAACCAAAATTTAGAACCATATAAAAAAATAGGAAAAGATTTAACATTA